ATGAACGAACCCCGGCCAACACGAGAACCGTATGGCGTCGCGCAGAACACCCCAGCTCACTATTTTACGACTTATCCCAAGTCCAAGTAACAGACGCACAATTTCGCACGGCTCTCAGTGAGTCCCCACTCAAAGAAGTCATCCATGGTGCTGTCATCCATCGCACCCGTAAACATGTCATTGCCGAAGTTGCCTTCAACGATGCCAAAGTACGTGGTCACTACATGCATCTACCAGTAACGCTTGCCGATGAAACAAAAGTTTTTGGTACACTTCCAATCCCCGAAGACTGGGATGTTATCAGGATCAACCTCTCGAACATACCGCTATATAACCGACGCCATTTGACAGAAGCTCTCATTGCCGCTTTGAAACCTTTTGGACAAATACTAGAACTTGGCTTATATCTTGAACAGCATCTTTTCACAGGAAAAGGCTATGTGTACCTCAATGTCAATCCCGACTCCAATGACTACAAACATTATTCAAGCGTACCACCACTACAGCCAACTCATACAATCTCAGTCTCCCGTAAAGACGGATCCTATCCCGCCCGCATATATGCAACATGGTCCAAAATGCCACTTCATTGCCGTTATTGCCATAATCCAGGACACACACGTATTCAATGCTCATACCGACCCCAGCCAAGATGTTATCACTGTCAAGAAATCGGACACCTCCGTAAAGACTGCACAATTCGCCATGGAACTCAATCAACAACCGACAAAACTGCAAGCCCCGATTATACAACACAAGAAACGCCGATTAAAAGAAAACGAGTACCAACATCACCATCACCTTCGCCTACACCATTCAGCTTCACCCCGCCAATTAACAACGACACCTCTCAACCCCGCCTAAAAGACAAGCCTCATGATCCACATACTGACATTGCTATTGACCCTGACATCCCGCACCGCAATCTCGACAATATGGACACATCCGCTACCCCAACCTCACGTGACCCGCCCCCGATGATATGGTGACCTAGTCTTTTGGGTTCTTGTAACCCACCTTTGCCTTGTCTTCCCTTCTCTCTCTTGCTTGGTCTTTGTGACCTACCCTTAGATCTTTATACTTTGTCTCCCCTCACTACTGGTTTTAAGACCCAACTTGTTAGCATTTATTTTGGGGTATGATATCCCCTCAATAAACAACCATTACAATACAAAAAAAAAAAAGCTACTTGACAATGAACAAAGACCACTTCTCATATAGCATCAGGCTTACAAACATAAAGGTGCCTGTATCTCCAAATTTTACAATCAAACGTGGGCTCTTAAATAGATCAACGTGCTTGTCGGGGTCAAAGGAATCTTGTGTCAAAGTATGAAGTTCATCGTGGGCGATCCCAGATTTCGCAATGTCGCCACCAGCCAAACTGGATCTGGGAGTCGACCTCTTCGACGACGACGACGACCAAAAAATATTTTTTGGGCTGTTTGCGACATTGAACGTAAAACTTTCACACAAGGTGCTGTTGGCCAAGCCGAGCCCATTGCTCTAATAAAAACCTCACGTTTCATTGGAAAGTTTGGAGATACAGGCATCTTTATGTTTGTAAGCACGATGCTATATGAAGAGTGGTCTTTGTTCATTGTCAAGTAGGTGGACCCTGGCAGAGCAAAAGATGCAGAGGGACGTCTTTGTGTAACTCAGCTACTTTGCATGACCGGAAGGATGGAAGGATGATACTGTATACTATTGACAATAGCCCATACATTGCGAGCTAACAGCCATCTCCTCATAATCGGTACTGATGTCCATTCTATGGCATGTGAACAATGCTCCTGCTCCAGCCCAACATTTCCATGATTGGATTATCTTGATCCGAGTTGATTTGAATGAGCTACGCTCAAACACGATTACATCAGTTGAGCAACATAGAGCATGCTATGATGTGTGGATTGATGTAATCTTGCTTGAGCGTATCTCAGTCAAATCGGCTCGGATCAAGATAATTGAATCATGGAAATGAATGTCTGTAGCAGGTGAATCGTTCGTATGCAGTGGAGTATGCAACAATGCTGATTGTGAAGAAATGGCTAATAGCGTGCAATATCGTCTATTGTGGATAGACCATAAAGTATATCATCCATCATCCCTTCCAGTCATGCAAATGAGCTGGGTTACACAAAGACGTCCCTCTGCATCTTTTGCTCTGCCAGGGTCCAGCTACTTCACAATGAACAAAGACCATTTCCCATATAGCATCTCCCATACAGCATATGCAAAACATAAAGGTGACTGTATCTCTAAACTTTACAATGAACTGCGGGGTCTTTAATAGAACAAAGTTGCTCGCCGGGGTCAACAGGATCATGTGTGCCAGTTTCACGATCGATGTGACCATTCCAAGATTTGCCAAATGTCGCTGCCAGCTAAAAAATATTTTTCGTCGTCGTCGAAAAATAATTCAAGAGGTCGACCTGATCCCATTTGGCTGGTGGCGACACTTGCGAAATCAGAGAATGGACACCTCGATCGCGAAACTACCACACAAACTGCGTTTCACCCAGCCGAGCAGGTTAGTTCCATTAAAGACCCCACGTTTGATTGTAAGGTTTAGAGATACAGGCACATTTATGTTTTACCTATGCCGTCGTAAGCGTGATGCTATATGAGAAGTGGTCTTCGTTCAATTTCAAGTAGCTAGTCCCTGACAGAGCAAAACATGCAGAAGCATTTGTTGTGCAATTAAGCCGAGGGGGGCGGGACTTCAAGAGTCAATCTTATTGGTGGCGACTGCATAATGGTCCCTGCCCTATAGTAAGATCCGCCTATGAAGACCGTATGGAACCATGGTATGGTGAACAGGACAAAATGAATCAGTGCATCCGAGAGTATTCGTGCGAAAGGGTGAGAATAGGGGGATGACATTGTTTGTTCCTTGGATCGTACTCATCCAAGATTACGCATACAAGATAGCGGCACATGATGCTGAAAGGTGCCATAAGTAAGCATATGCATGCACTCGTTTCATGTTGTATCAAAGCTCACTTTTTCCTAAACGTAAATGACTTAAGCCTTCAATGGATTAAACTTTGTAACAAGCCCTATTGTTGGTTACCATGACTATGGGTTTATTATCTTTGATAATACAAGCGTCTATTTAAACCTGTGCACTATCCTGAAAATTGCCACTGCCTATCGTCTATCAGCATACGACCAAGGAAACTTAAAGAATGTGATGTGGTGAAAGCAACCAAAGCGTCTCGATGCAATGATGTAGATGATCCAATCTCGCCTCCCAACCTTTCTATCCTCCTTTCATCCCCGAAACCAATCAAGTGGACCACGTAGAATGAATGGGTATCGTTGTGTCATTGTATCCTTAGTTGCTGCCGCCATAAAAATCTTCATCCATGGTTGCAAACTAATTGCTGTGCGTGTCTTGAATCCAATACACAATACCATCCATGGCGACAAACCTCCTTTCGTCAAAGATGTAAGTCCTCTCATCCATGCCATCCAGCCATCATTATCATCACCCGTATCCATGTAACATGATCTATCCTTCCTGATCGGGACGTGCCAAGTAACCAAAACGACATCACAATCCCCTATTACTTTGCTTGATTACACCCATCCACCCATCCATCCATTACCATTGCAACTTCAACATGTTGATACAAAGACCCCCTTGGGTCGCTTCCTTTTCCATCCGGCTGTTGGTCAAACTCTTTCTTGGTCATCTTCTATCGCAGCTCAACCAGATGAAGAATGTTTGTATTGCGCAATAGTAGTTGATGGTTGAAATGGCATCATCCATAGGGATCCATATGTATTGAAACAAGTTGCTACACGTAAATAAAGCTGCTTCTATACAATGGCTATCTGCTGTCCACGTAACGAAGACTGTAAGGCAAGTTGCTGCAGGGAAAGAACGCTGTTGAAGACAATGGTGAAAAGCCCTTGCTAATAGCAACTGATGGAGTGAACGCTGTTAACATTGGTTGTGGTAGATGAGTGTACAAGAGAAGGTGCTGTGTCAGAGGAAGGCGTGTGTTGTAGTGGGGTGCACACGCCATGGACTTTCCATGGAGTCAAAGACAATCGGTTCAAGATAGTTGTAGGACTGACATGATGAGTTGAAGCAGGACAATCGTTCGCAAAATCCAGTTGTACTTGAATGTGTGCGATATGGAAGAGACGCGAAGCTAGCAGCGGAAAAGCTGCATATTTAACTGAGTCGGGGTGCTTGGATTTATCAAGTGTGTCGTCGACCTTTCGTATTGGAAATGATACAAAAGAGGTGAATGGTTCAACTTGCAAATCTATTCGTTTCATAAAACAGCATGTGGCTCTTGTGGTATGTTTACTACAGCTATCCCTCGTCCACTACCGTACGTAAAACAACCCAAATTGGAAGGCGAACAAAGAAGTGGTTGATTGTGGCAAGGTACAACAGTAAATTTCATGGTAACCAATAAGACAGCTGACCCTTTCATCTGCATCAGTGGGTGGAAGATGGCAACTCGCTTTATTACGGCATCCAAAGATCGACGTGTGGTACAAGGAGAATCCGAGATGTGGTCGGGTGTTACTTGGGATACTCACGCTGATACTCAGTGCGACGATTGTGCTGATGGCCTATTTGGTACCTCGCCTTGATAACGTTATAGGTTTTTAGGCGCCTTTTTGCATTTGTGATCTCTGCTATATTCCCACTCATGTGCCATCGCAAATTATACCAATACCACGCTTGCAAAAGATCCTTGACTACATCCTTATTTTCATTTCCGTTGACATGGCAATACTTGATGGTACTTGGACAAGCGTTACATAGTAGTAATCTGTATGAAACAACGCAAATAGAGATAGTAGAGAATGATAAGTAAGGGTGGATGATGAAGTAACGTGATAGATGTTGTTGTTTGTATACAAGAAAAGGACGATGGATGATATTTATTGAACAATAGGTTGCCTACTTGTTGTACAGCAATGAATTGACATAGGAGGAGGAATATTGTGTGTGTGTGTGTGCAAAAGTGATATTATTCAAACATGGTTGGAGGTTGATGCAGAAACGAATGTGATGTGGGGTATAGGTCTTGTTGTTGTGGTGTTGGCGGTTGTGCTGATGATGATGATGGTTGTGGTGGTAGCACGGGATCGAAATTATGGAAGGTTGTTGATGCTGTTAGGTCTTCCGATTGTGCTGGAGTGGATGATGGGGCAGATTGGTTGTTGATATTGTCAAGTTTTTGGCAGAGCACTTGTCGAAACCTTTCAGCAAACAAGGGGGATATGGACATCAATAGATTTTCCACGGTCTCAAAGGGGTGATCCATGTATCCTTCGATTGTTTTGGTCGCTTGTTCAGCTGCCGGTCCACAAAAGAGGGCTGATTGTGAGACCACCTATGCCAGCAAACAACAATGGGCATCATCATCATTGATCCAATACAATACGCCAACCACTTACCTTGTAGCCTTGTTGGTTCACTTCAATAATCACCATGACACCTTCTAGCAACGTGAGATCCACTCGACCAAACCCCATGGCTTCGTCAAGATGGAAGGCTGTGGCGGATCCCGGGACAATGCCTTAAATGACATTAGCACGTTGACAAGCACTGTAGCATTATGCAAGAGTCGTCTAGCATACCATAATCATAAGAACTTGTAATTGCTTCCAATTCTTCCCTAATAGAAGCCGACCTCATGAGTATACGTTGTGGGTGTATTGTGTGGGTGTGGGATACAGCAAGGGAGCGTTTCCAAAACGTGGAAAAAGTGCTTATGTCTCTGTGTGACTCTAGGAATCACATATACGGAAACTCCTTTGACCTTCCCGCCATAATTATTCCCTCCCTTCAATGGCCTAAGCATACTATATCCCACGTACAGCCATATTTTATACAAAACTGGATTATCACGGGACCCCATTTTCCATTTGATTAACAAAGGTATGGGTTAGCAGTTATTTGGAATGAATAAAAATATTGCGTCTCCTTCCTTTTCATTGTGGCGATCGATCACTTTGACCGGAGCCACTTGCAGTAGTATCCCGAGAGTTTATCCGATACCCTTTCTATAATGCCCTTGTGTCACTGCAATGTAAAGAATGAAATTGACCCTTCGGCATATGGATGGGATGATGATGCAATCATTCATTCATGAACTTTTACAATTCCGCAGACGCGGATCCCATTTGGCTTTGTGCATAGGTGCCAATAAGATAAGGTCAAGAGGAGGTGTGAATTCGTATAACGATTGATGCCTACTACCCCTTTCACAGCTTCCCTTTCCACCGCCTACCTACCCTGTTGTTTTCCTTCATTCTTGCACACACTCTCACTCCTTTGTACCATGATCCCATTTTTGCTTATACTTGCAAAAGCGTCTACATACAATTTCACTTGATGAAAACCTACATGCAAATCTTGGTGTAGTAGAGAAGACACATACAACTACTAGGTGACAGGCGTGACCATATGCAAATGCCTGGTTGCTGAAACTGGGACCCGACAAAGAGGATTGGTACCGGATTAACAATGTTTCCATGGATATTGACAAGGTTTCCATGGATATGCAAAAAGAGAGTGGGAAAGAAAAAGTGATACGATGTGTCAGGGAGACAATATGCAAGGAGTTGTTGATACGCATCAAGCCTGCAGCAACAACTCTCTATTTCCCCCAGGCTTATCCTTCCTTTTACTTTCTAGTGCATGTGACACAATGCGTGTTTGCGTCTACTGTGCGTATTTTGATACGCAACATGTTGATACTGGGCAAGGAAAAGAAGAGAATGGAGCATCAACATAGTAGTTGATAGGTTATCATAACAGGATATAGATTTCAAGATGCATGTATAGTTGACAAGTACAGGAGATTGGGATAGAGGTTTAATGATGATGTTGCTCTTTGAGACCTAAAGACTAGTAACCAAGTATGATGGAAGCAAAGACCAGCATCCATGGTGGATCGGCATGATGGAGGTGTCTCAAATTTTCACCGAGTTGTCACTATCATCGCCTTGTTCCCCTTTACGTCTTCTTTGTTTGCATGCCCAAGCTCAAATACAAGAAGCACGACCACGATGACCGCAAAAAGAAGTCCAAAAAGAAACACCACCGATCTCGATCACCCAAGAAACATAGACGACATCGTCATCGATACTACTCGCCACCCAAGATCTACAATGAGGAGCCTGGATGGATTCCAATGCATGACCAGCACAATGAGGAAGACGAGTGGCGACAAAGACTATTCGAAGCCATGGCAGACGACGAGGGCCATGATCCATTCTATGCACAGTATGACAACTACCATGTGGATCAAGTCCATACAATGAATGATGAAGAGTATCGAGAGCATATTGCAGAAGGCATGTATCGAAGACAAAACGCCGAAGCTATTGCACATGAAGAAAGGCGACAAGCTGAACGAGAACGGCGTGAACGAGAGCGTGAAGAAGCTCAAGAACGAATGCGTCAAGAACATGCACGCATGGTGGAAGAACAAAAGCGACAAGAAGCCATGTTACGACGTCGAACAGCAGTGGATAGCAGAAAACAGTATGAGCTCAAGTGGACACATATCGAGACAGCATCCACTATCCTCTCGAAAAAGGAGATACCATGGCCCGTGTGCCCAGGCACTTCATTATCAGCTGAACATGTCAAGGAGTTTGTGTTGGCATCAGCAAAGACGCCCGATGAGACGCGGAAAATGGTGCGCAAGGAACAATTACGTTATCATCCTGATAAATTTGTCCATCGCGTCCTCAACAAGTTTCAAGGCACTGACAAGGAAAAGACTCGTCTTCATGAAAAGGCTAATGAGGTTTCTGGATGGCTTAATGAAATATGGCAAGAATTAGCTGCTGGTAGATGATGATGATGATGATGATGGAATAAAATTCATTATGAAAATGATAATAATAATAGTGATGTGTAGTGGTTGTAGTAATAGAAAGATATCCGAACCCCCTTAGCTCCTAATAACTCGATTATTTCTCTCCTTGTTGGCCTTTTGTTTGTGTAGAATGTGATGTATGTACTTGCCCGCGCGCGCGCTTCTTACTCACACACTCTCTCACCCCTGACACCCCGTGGCCCTGTTCCCTCGCTGCTGGTGTTGATGCCGTACCCGCGTGTGTCTAATCTCTTTTTCTTTTTCTCTCTCCTGTGATTTTGCTTTAAATAAAAAAAGGCAAACCTTGCATTTTCCCCCCTTTCTTTCCAACCTTTTCTCTCTTTCTTTTTCTTTTGGCCCCCTTTTCCCGCCTTCTTTCTGCGAGATACACACACTGCAATACAACAATGAACAACGCCGAAGCCGCCATGATCGACATGTCACCACCGTATCCATGCATTAAAGCTGAACATGGTATTGATACAACACCACCACCACAACAGCAGCAGCAATTATCAGGCAGCCGTGAAGCGGTAAGAGGATGAGTAGCTGGTATATGTAACGTTGCCTCTTATCATTTTATTTGCAATCATCTATGTAGATGGAGCCATTGTATAATCAGTTGGTGGAACCCACATTCAAAGATAGTGCATCAGCAGTTGGCTTTTGCAGAGCAGCATGTCATCAATATGGATTCACTATCAAGCAGGAAACGAGTGCAAACAAGGTATGACAAAAGGGCTTTCTCTCTCTCTCCCTTATTGTGCAACGGTGACACATAATCACCAACGTGGCAACAAACAGGAGCCGACGAATGCTCACACACAAAACATCCTTGTAGCACATTTACGTGTATTGTTCAAGAGAAGGATTACCCGATTCTCAACGGCGTCGTGGTAGTGGTGGAGGAGGAAATGATCATGACAAGTCATCCAACAATGAAAGCTCTGCACCCAAGCGACGACGTGTATCGAAACGATGTGATTGTCGGTGGCGAGTGGTGTTATCGGAAACAACACCGGGTTGCTGGCGGTTCCGAAGATCCTTAAATCCGAGTGCTTCGGAGCACAATCATGCCATGATGTCGCCTGATGAGATTGTTGTACAGCATTGGCCATCGGCTATGAATTCGCTCATTGTCGAATTGGCTCGTGATAGAGTGCCTACGCATGATATTCGCACACGTGTACAACAAGCGTACCCTGATATTGTATGGAATGAGCGCCGCTTTTATAATCGTCTCACGGAAGAACGTAAACGTATACGCTCACGAGACATCCTTGATCGTTCACGCCGTTTGCTATTACTCTTGTCCCGCTTGACATCGCTTGCTGCTGCTAACGAGCATTGGGCAGCCCATGTTGAATCCGAAATGGCACGTCTTTTTGATAACTTTTGTCAAGCTGCACATCCTCATGTGGATCCTGAGATGCTGGTTGTCAACCTTGATCCAGATCAAATTTGCCATGATAAGCAACAGCAGCAACAACAGGAATCTGCAAGGAATAAAAAAGCAAGTAATAACAGCAACAAGGAACTCAAGATCCACATCCCAAGTTACACATTGGCTATCACCCCTCAAAAATTTAGGCAGCCATCCTCTTCTTCACCATCCTCCCTCCTTTGTAATAGCCACCACATGGCATCAGCAAGCACCATTACTACTGGAGCAACACATTCACCATCCTCGTCGTCTCTATGTCCATCTGAATATGCTTACAATGATAGCGCAAGCAGCAATAACCATCAACAATCCATCGCCGCCGCTTCCTTTCTATCACCTTCACCTGCTGAAACTGTGACACAGACATTGCCATTTGATTTTTCTTCAGGGATGGTCCTCCCCAAACAACCCGATTCCATGTTTCTTGATTATGGTTTGTTACAACAACAGCATCATCATCATCATCATCAACAACATTTACAACGACTCGATGATCCCCTTCCACAAGGCCCATGGTAATTACATATAATAACTTTCCCCCTCTTGTCTATCGTTTAATTACACAGTACACACCTATACTTTCTGTAAGATCTTTTTTTTTGAATTCTATTGCTATAAACATGTTTTGAGGATGCTGGTATATACTATATTATGCTATTACATCTTGTCTTTTAATGTTCTATAAGCGCGTTGGAGAGCAGGTGACTTGATGGAGAAACCACAATCGTCCATTTCCTTGACAACGATTGCACCATGGGTCCAATCCTTGCGTCGAATACATTCATTCATCATGATACGCCATGTGTCGGTGGTGGGCATACACTTGTCTTTACGCATCTTGATAAGGCAGGTGACGGCATCACTGATACGATTGTTGTTGAGGAAGCCACAAATGATGAAATGATACGATGCACGATCAGGTTTCAGACCAGGAGTACGAACAATGGATTGGAACGTAAGCATGGCATTACGCAGATCATTGATAGCCACATAGCCTTGGATAAGATTGGTGTAGGTGTGGATGGTAGGTTTTAATCCATTATGTCGTAACATATCAACTGCTTCTTCTGCCTGGGCCATTTGTTCTTGTTGAATGAATTTGTTGATCACTGCATTGAATGTATAAATGTTGGGTTTCATGCCTGTGCGATGCAAGTACTCAAAGACTTGGTTTGCTGATTGAGGTTGAATACGTGCAAAGACGCCATCCAAAAGTGTTGTAAACGTGACAATGTCTGGTTCGCATTTGGCGTCGTACATGTGTTGAATCACTTGTAGTGCTGATGCATAATCCTCGATGCGAACAAATCCTTTGAGCAACGTGTTGAAGGTAACGCGATCCGGTTTGATATGCGTTTGAACCATCTGATCATATAGCAACTTTGCTGCATCCATTTCTCGATTCATGAGTAATCCATCCAAGAGCGTATTGAGAATCACATCATTCACTCGTAGTTTGGGATCTTGCTGAATGGCTTCGAATACTGCCAGTGCCTTTCGTGTCTCGCGTGATTTGAGATAGACTCGTAGTAGCTGATTGTAAATCGTTTCATCCAAGGTATGTCCACCCGCCAATGTTGCTTCAATGATCTTTTCAGATGCACGTGGATCACGCTGTTGTGCAAAATAAGGTAACAATGCCGTACAAATGGTCTTATTCGGTTGAATGCCCGCTTTTTGCATGGCGTCATACACTGCTGCTGCTTCGCGTGGTTGCTTGTCATCCATAAAACCCTTGATCAGGATACTGTAGATCGATACATCCAACTTGACATCCTTGATATTGGAATACACATACTTTGCATCATTCATCCGATTCTCTCGTACAAGATGTGCAAGATTGCTGCGTAGAATATCCAAATTGTTGGCTAGAGCATGGCGTGTAATAAGCTCACGTGCCTGTTTGGCAATCTTGGTATCACGTGGCAAACATCGGTACATGGTGCGTTGAAAGTCGCGAATATCAGGTTGGACTCCCCACTTTGTATGTGCCGTTTGAATCAATTCAATCGCTTCATCCATCTTTCCAAGTTGTAAATAGGTTGCCAAGAGAACATTGAATGATCCAATGGTGAGTGGTAGTTGTGCTTGCTGAAACTCATCACCAGCGAATGTATCAAGGATATCTTGGTGTCGTGCTTGGAACAACTTGACCATAAAGTACTCGTTGTATTCAAGAATAGTCCATGCATGTCCCAACGCTTTCATGTCTTGTAACACTTGCAACACCTTCTCTTCTGCACCCCACATGTTCTTATTGCTCCATAACTGAGACCGTAACTGCACAAAGTCTTGTCGTTCCAACAATGCTCGATCGTTGTCGGTCAACTCTTGGTATCGTGTCCATACATCGTTGCTACGGCTGTGTAACTTTTCTCGATAGCTCTGCACACGCGGATCGTCCATTGCTGTTGTTGTTGTGGTGGTGGTAGTCGTGGTGGGGGTGGTTGAATGGGGAGTTGTGTAAGGTCGATTTGCCATGGTGGGTAGAATGGGTTGCCATGGCTTCTTGTTGACGAGTTGTTGCCGGCAACTACTCGAGAGTCGTGCACGTAATGTCCATGCTGTTAACCGTTGCATAGGGATAGGGATAGTAAAGGAGAGAAGAGCGGACGTTGTATGTATCAAAGAAACAAGGTTGGACGTCGTCCTTTTGATTTGATATTGCCAGCCTGGGTGACTGTGAGCTCGTAATACTAGTACTAGTCGTATGGGATAATGAAATACACTGCTTTTTTATAGTCAAGACGAGTTGATATATGATAATGCTATTGGAGAATAATCAAGCATTGAGACACACCCCTATAAACATCAATGCATTGCCTTGTCAGATCCCGTGATCCATGTAAAAATAGTTGACAATGAACCCACAATCATTCACGTCTATTTCCCCGTATCATATGCTATGTTATCCTCCTTTCACATCAATCACACACATACACAAAGAAAGTATCGCATCGTTCCATAATGTCATAAACAGAGAAAAAGAGAAGGAGTCGAGTATTTTATTCCTTGATCAATGTTTAAGCCGACTTGGCAGTCTTCTTAGCGGCCAAAGCCTTGAGGGTACCCTTCTTGGCGTAACGTTGGTTGCGAAGGAACTTGGCATCAACCTATATTGAAAGCAACACTATCAGCTATGATGTCCTTTTTAAGTATGGATACAGGAGGGATACATACACCCTTGAGGGAGGGGTAGCGGTGCTGCTTGGGCTTCTTGATACCGTTACGGTGAGCCTTGCTGTCTAAAAAAGAGTGGTATTCGTATAAGCATTCCATGTTGTTGAATTGGGTTGAATCCATGTGTGTGCATGTTGTATGCTTACTTTGGTTGTGGTTGGTGTGGTTCTTCGACTTGGCCATTTCACTATCATCCATTTCACGGTTAATTCATCCATCCATCCATCTAATCCATTATCCTTCCATCATATTCATCCATCCATTTTGCGAATAGTATCATATGATGGTGTTCATCCCACATCTCCATGGACCATGTCAGTCGCTCAACTTACCAAACGTAGAGGAGAGGGAGCCTGTGGGACACCCTGCTGCTTGCCTCATTTACCACCGATCCACTCGCCTTTCTCTCCGCCAACCAGCTAACTTGTCTGCCTGCTCCGAAACAATCAGGGGAATTATCATGCTGCTCACATCTCCCACCCTATGCACCAATAAAATAGCTATCTTACAATCGCAACGTGTATTATGATGTGATTGACGAGGTCTTACCATATAAAAGGGAGACGTGTTATACTATGGAATGTAGCCTTTGTTCAGAGACACAATGAACCATTCTTCTCCTCGCTTTTTCCTCTATCAAAGCATTCACGAGTGGGTATACTTCCACAATCCTGCATATAGCCTTCTATGATACAATGCATCAAGCCCCCTCACGCAACGAGAACTAAATAAGGAAGAAGGAAGGTCTCTCACAGTATACAAACTTAAAAATGAATAGCCAACGCAAACTCATACTGGCAAAAGCAATCCTTTAATCCAACATCATTCACAAGAGGTTCACCGAAAGGTACAACGAGTCGCTTTAATAGGTGGGTGCATCGATATGGAAACTTTCTATCCTTCAGGTAGAGAGATGTGAGGTGATACTTGATGCATGGTGGCGAATTACCTAGACGTGCCAAAACATGCAGCTGGATCGTGATGCTATAGCTTCCATGGAATACTGGATGTACCAACCGTTGAAGATGATAGCATCAGGGTCAAAAGACAATGGATGCATAAGAACAAAGGCTCTTCCTCCATGCTTTGCATATATCCAACCCCATCCATCCCATATACCAAACCAATATCCATATCCATATCCATAGTAAGCTGTATGTATTGAAACAGGTTGCTACACGTAAATAAAGCTGCTTCTATACAATGGCTATCTGCTGTCCACGTAACGAAGGCTGTAAGGCACGTTGCTGCAAGTAAAGAACACTGTTTGAGACAATGGAGTAAAGGCCTTGCTAGTAGCAATTGCTGGCATGAATGCTGTTACCATCTGCCGTGATTGAGGAGTATACAAGAGAAGGTACAGTGTCAATGGAAGGCGTGTGTTGTAGTGGGGTGCACGCGCCAAGCACTTGCCATTCAGTCAAAGACAATCGGATCAAGATAGTTGTAGCATTGACATGATTGGCTGAAGCAGCACAATTGTTTGCAGGTGGTAGTTGTACCTGAATGGGGCAACAGTTGAGAATGGGAGGAAGAGACAAGAAGTGGAGAGTGGAAGAACTGGAAATCAAATTGATTTTTCTGATGGCCTTGGATGATCTTTCTTTGTACAAGCGTCGTTCAGTCAAATCCTCTCGAATCAAGAAAGTTGAATGATGAGCATGATGGGCTAGAGCAGGACAATCGTTCACATGCATTGGGTTGGGCAACAAAGATGAATGGGAGGAATGGGCTATCAAGTGGCAGTTTGCAAAATGATTTTTCTCATATTGGGCGATACTTCTGTGTTTGAGCGTTTTTCAGTCAAATCCACTCGGATCAAGAAAGTTGAAGGATGGGAATGATGGGCTGGAGCAGGACAATCGTTCACATGCATTGGATTGGACAACAAAGGTGAATGGGAGGAATGGGCTGCTAGCTGCCAATGATGGGCTGTTACTGAATATGATACATTGCCCCTTCCAGTCATGCATAATGAGCTGAGTTAAACAAACACGGCCCCTCTGCATCTTCGGCTCTATTGTAACCATACTATTTGACAATGAACAAAGACCACTCTTCATATAGCATCACCCTTACAGCATATGTAAAACATAAAGGTGCCTGTATCTCCAAACTTTACAATCAAACGTGGGCTCTTTAATAGATCAACGTGCTCGTCGGGGCCAAAGGAATCTTGTGTCAAAGTATGAAGTTCATCGTGGGCAATCCCAGATTTCGCAATGTCGCTACCAGCCAAACTGGATCTGGGGGTCGACCTCTTCGACGACGACGACGACCAAAAAATATTTTTTGGGCTGTTTGCGACATTGAACGCGAAACTTTCACACAAGGTGCTGTTGGCCAAGCCGAGCACATTGCTCTATTCAAAACCCCACGTTTCATTGTAAAGTTTGGAGATACAGGCATCTTTATGTTTGTAAGCATGATGCTATATGAAGGGTGGTCTTTGTTCATTGTGAAGTAGGTGGACCCTGGCAGAGCAAAAGATGCAGAGGGATGTCTTTGTGTAACTCAGCTACTTTGCATGACCGGAAGGATGGAAGGATGATACTGTATACTATTGACAATAGTAACAGCCATCTCCTCATAATCGGTACTGATGTCCATTCTATGGCATGTGAACAATGCTCCTGCTCCAGCCCAACATTTCCATGATTGGATTATCTTGATCCGAGTTGATTTGAGTGAGCTACGCTCAAACACGATTACATCAGTTGAGCAACATAAAGCATGCTATGATGTGTGCATTGATGTAATCTTGCTTGAGCGTATCTCAGTCAAATCGGCTCGGATCAAGATAATCCAAACATGGAAATGAATGTCTGGAGCAGGAGAATTGTTCACATGTCATAGAATGGACAACAGTACCGATTGTGAAGAAATGGCTGATAGCGTGCAATATGGTCTATTGTGGATAGACCATAAAGTATATCATCCATCCTTCCTTCCAGTCATGCAAGGTAGCTGAGTTACACAAAGAGGACCCTCTGCATCCTTTGCTCTGCCAGGGTCCACCTACTTCACAATGAACAAAGACCAGGCGACGTGTCAAGTAACCAAAACGACATCACGATCCCCTTTCACAGTGCTTGATTGCATCCATCCATCCATCCATAACCATTGCAACTCCAACATGTTGATACAAAGACCCCTTTGGTCGCTTCCTTTTCCATCCGGCTGTTGGTCAATCTCTTTCTTGGTCATCTTCTATCGCAGCTCAAACAGATGAAGAATGCTTGTATTGCGCAATAGGTAATTGATGGTTGAAATGGCATCATAGGGATCCCTTTGTATTGAAACAAGTTGCTACACGTAAATAAAGCTGCTTCTATACAATGGCTATCTGCTGTTCATGTTATAAAAAAGGCTGCAAGGCATGCTGCTGCAAGTAAAGAACGCTGTTGAAGACAATGGAGTAAAGGCATCGTCGATACCAACTTCTGGAATGAACGCTGTCACGATTGGCTGAGGCAGAGGAGTGTGCGAGAGCGTGTATCGTGTCAAGCAAGGCACGTGTCGTAATAGAGTGATAAAAAAGCCGTGAACACGCTATGGACTTGCCATTCAGTCAAAGGCAGTCGGATCAAGGCAACTGTAGACTTGACATTGATGGACAATTGTTCGTAGGAATCTTGTAAAATGGCTCATAGACATCAATGGGATACAACATGGATACGGATGTTCGAGAAGGTTTTCCCGATTTGTGCATAAATTGGTTACTGGACATGTCTTTACTGGGTTTCCCTTTATCACATTTTCACGTGTCATGTCTCGACGACAATACGATATCACTATCTTTGGTGCAACGGGATTGACAGGTCGGCATGTTGTTGAGCAAGTCTATGATCTGGGCACGACACAACCATCGTTGCTACCATCGGGTTTCCAATGGGCTGTTGCCGGTCGAAATGAGTCTGCCTTGGTGCATGTTGTCGACCATTGCAAGCAAAAGTATCCAAGGTCATCTGTTCCAGAGCCTGCTATTATCCTTGCCAATGTAACGCGACGCGACACGATGGATGATATGGCCCAGCAATCCAAGACGATTATCAATGCAGTTGGTCCCTTTCGATTTCTAGGCGAATACGTGGTACGATCATGTGTTGAACAAGGTTGTGATTATGTGGATGTCACTGGTAAGTTACAGTATCGAGGAGGGGGATGGAAGACAAGATCATATTGAAACAAGGGCACATCACAAGGTGAACCTGAATTTGTTGAACGTATGCAAAGGACGTATCATGATCAAGCCAAACGCAACAAGACCACTATTGTACATTGCTGTGGGTTTGATAGCGTAAGTAAAAGTAACAATGTGTGATGGTTGTGGACATTAAGGATGTGTGATTAGGTACCCTCGGATATGGGTGTGCTATTTGTCAAGCAACTTTATGCAGCACGTGGATGGACCCCAGCCCAGGTTGAAATGTTTTTGAGAATCCATTGTGGGACACAAGGTTTGCGTGGAGGCTATGCCACTTATGAATCGGCAGGTAATGTATAAAGGGGCGTTTGCATTCAAAGGGAAAAAAGGAACAAGCAAATGGTTGGCTTATCGTTTTACTTCTTTAACATGCACGTGCATTTTACAGTGCATGGATTTAGTGCGGTGCATGTTTTACGTGAAATTCGCAAGGTATCTGGATTGCCATCTTTGCCACGCACAGGCCCTAGACTCAAATTCCACAAAGGAGCCACCTATGATAAGGAACTTGGAATGTACCATGTCCCATTTATGTTTGCGGATCCATCCGTTGTACGTCTATCACAACAATTGTTCCTTGCTGGTGCAGGAGAGCCCCCAGAGAAGACTACCGAACCTATGCCGCCCACCGTTCAGTTTGCAGGCTACTTGTTATTACCATCATTGTGGATCCTTATCCTTTACCACATCTATGGATTGATCTTTTCATTTTTGGCCGCATCACCCTGGGGACGCAATATGCTGCTTAATCATCCCGAGGGATTTACTCATGGTGTGTTCTCAAAGACCGATCCTACCGAGGAACAATTGCGTCAAACTAGCTTTGAGATGATACTGCGTTCCAAAGGCTATGAATCAGCAGTGGTGCCTTCTGGTGAACAGCCACCTAATACATCTCTCAAGGTGGTGATCCGTGGTCCTGAAATGGGTTATGTTGCTACACCTCGCATTGTATTGCAAAGCGCTTTGGCTCTACTCAAGGAAAAGTCTCATGGCAAAGTACCTTTTGGTGTTATGACTCCCAGTGTGGCATTCTGGAATACCGATTTGCTGGATCGTTTGCAAAGTGTAGGAATTACCTTTGAGGAACAACAGCTGGTGCAATGAAAAAGGATAAACGGACAATGTGCATTTATTTGTATACATAGTTCAGGTTATGCTCGAATATCTTAACGCTGCAGTATAAATAAAAGAGATCCAGATGCATGAACACCCCCTCGCTTACACATACACGCCCGCCCCTTGTGCTTCTGCACCACCATCACATTCTTAAAAAGTCATCCACAAAATACATCCTGTACTTGCATACATCTTTCGCTTTCTTTCTTCTCTCTACAAAACAATTCAATTGATTCCATGCACTTTTGCTCCATGCACTACTTGTTCATCAGGCGTCGTCAACGCAAGGCACAAAAAGTTACCAGCACCTCATCATCGAACCAACGGAGGGTCACCTTTTCACGTGTCATGATTGTAAACAACCCTTCAACTTTTATCATCGCAAGAGAAGAAGAGCCTACTATACCATTGAGTCGGATCTCAAGCCGAGAGCAATGTTATGAAGAAAAGTACTAGAAGAACCAGCCATTCATTGTCACCCTATATACAATGTACATGTCATCCTATATATATCCATCCTCTCTCCTCTAATTGCGATCACATAAACAACCTTACAACTTTTAATATCATGTTGACATGATTTCGGCTTAGCTTTACGCCTTTTTCCATATAAAACCATTTATGCACGTTTGCTGTACGAGAACATTGCGTGCATTTTGCTGCTGCCGCTCGGTAGTGTATCAAAACCACATGTGCAACTCCTATCTCTTCCGACACACATATATCCTGCAGTAGTGAACGTTTTATCTCGTGACTAATATCGAATGCTTGGTTCCATCAGGGCAAGTCAGCTCATCGGATAAAAAACATGTCCCGGCTATTCATAAGCGATGTTGCACCTGAGGCATGCATTTTGACTTTCGCTCTCTCTCTCTTTCTCAAGGCACGTGTTGCAGTATGTGAAGATCCGGTGCATAAATTTGGGCAACAATGACATGATTCATTGTGTAAGCGATCTTTAATTGGCTTTGATATTGAAGAAGGTGTCCATGAAAAGGTAAAGAGCATGCATAATCATATGACAAACGCTGCATGTCTTTATATACGATGGATGAATCGCTTTTACCCCGAGCTCATAGCTATGTAAGGAACATGTTGAACTTGTAAATGATAGTGCAATGCGGTTCTTTGTATAGGTGCTTTAATCCAGGAATTCACAAGGTAAGTTTCACTGTGCAGCATATGTAAGATCAAATGCATGATAATCCTTCCTTTATTGTCATGAATGATGCGCTCTTTTTACATAGCTATCTTAAATTGGCATCGTAGCACCTATAAACATACACATCATTGCTCTCATAGATTGTATTATTATAGTAAAAAGGGATCCATTGAAATGGGGACCTTGCTGAGCTTGAGAAGAAGCATGCACTAGCAGCGGGTTGGCAGGCTGAAGAGTTGATTTGCCGATACTGCGACTGAGGCGCAAAGTGAAATAAAAATTTGTTCTCTTGAGGCAGCAGCCTCTGTGTCTTTATTCCTTTACAAGCCATGTCCGCCACCAACGAAGTCATTCCCACCATTGCCGACAGCAACGTCGTTGCCAAGTACAAGGAGGCTGCTGAAATTGCCAACAGTAAGAATAACGCGTGAATGTGCATTCCAATGACTTTGGGGATCAGGCTCTTATGGTTATGGTTGGCAGAGGTCCTTGACAAGGTCATCAAGCTTTGCGTTGAAGGTGCCAAGGTTATGGATATTTGCGTTGCTGGTGATGATGCCATTGTCGAAGCCACCAAGGGTATCTACACCAAGGGCAACATCTCCAAGGGTAAGAAATGCTTGTGAGGGTGTGTTCAATGCTTGGATGATCTGATGACATGTTGTGTGTTGTGTCTAGGTATTGGTTTCCCTACCTCTGTCTCTCTCAACAACTGCGTTGCCCACTTCTCTCCTCTTCCTTCTGACCCTGAGTCTGCTACCACTTTGAAGGCTGGCGATGTTGCCAAGATGTAAGTATGGATGATGAAGGATGATTTCGTGTGTGTATGTGTGTATTGACGCGTGTTGTGTTTTTTCCACCTCAGCCAACTTGGTGTCCAAATCGATGGTTTCGGTTCCATTGTTGCTCACACTCTTGTTGTTGGTGCTTCCGCTGAGAACCCTGTCACTGGTGTCAAGGCTGATGTCATTCAAGCTGCTCACACTGCCTTGGAAGCTGCTGTCCGCATGGTTGCTCCTGGCAACAAGAACATGGAAATCACCAAGGTTGTTGACAAGATCGCCGCTGCTTACAACACCAAGCCTGTCGAAGGCATGTTGAGCCACCAACAATTGAAGAACAAGACTGATGGCAAGAAGCAGGTAATGAAAAAAGAACATGATTTATGTATGACATTATCATTAATGGATATACATGAATATAGATCATCCTCAACCCCAGCGAAGCCCATCTCCGTGATTTCGAACGCTGTGAATTTGCTGAGAACGAGGTCTACGTTCTTGATGTGTTGATCTCTAGTGGTGAAGGCAAGGTCCGTCAATTGAATGCTCGCACTACCATTTACAAGAAGACCGAGAACAAGTATCAGCTCAAGATGACTACCTCCCGTCAAGTCTTCTCTGAATTGCAAAAGATGGCTGGTGCTTTCCCCTTCTCTCTCCGCCAAATGGCTGATGAGCGTAAGGCTCGCATGGGTATTGTTGAATGTGCCAAGCATCAAGTTGTTCTTCCTTATGATGTTGTCTACGAGCGTGAGGATGCCGTTGTTGCACAATTCCTTACCACCGTCCTTGTCACCAAGAACGGTAACGTTGTTGTTACCGATCCCCGTTTCGACTCTTCTATCATCAAGTCGGACAAGAAGGTCACTGATGAGGAAATCCTCAAGATCCTTGAAATTCCCTTGAAGTCTGCTACCTCCAAGAAGAAGGCAAAGAAGACTCCTGCTGCCAAGCAGTAAACCTTTTTAGAACAACAACTAGCAAAGGTCTATTTAAGCATTCCATGTCCTTTTTTATGTACAAAATGTTCACACACAAAAAACACACGCATCTGCATTGGAAAAAAAAAGAAGTTGTTCATATATAATGGTTGCACATATGTGGGTGCGGTGGGGAGATGAAAGAACCATATGAAGGGGATGAAAAGATGTTGGTGTCGGATGGATACGGTGAATGTGATTATACCTCAAATTTAAAATCCAATTGTTGAGCGGAGTGTGTGTGTATGTGTGGTGTTTCCGGGGAGAGAGATGGGATTATATAAAAGACAAAAAGTCAGGTATATCTGAGACTCTTTTCCACCTCTTTCTTCTCTCACAAAACATGTTGCCCACCATTGAACAACTCAACACTGCTTCCAACGAGGCCTTCATTGAAGCCGTTAACACTCTCTTTGAGACTGCTCCTCCTCTTGCATCCCGCTTGTTGGCTGCTCGCCCCTACAAGTCCTATATTGAACTTATCGACTTTGCTCAAAACTTGTGCCTTGGCAACGAGTTGACCAATGAAGAAAAGCTCGAAGTCATCAACGCCCATCCTCGTATTGGTGCCAGCAAGGCTAACCTTTCTGCCATGTCGCTCAAGGAACAAGGTTACAATGATCGCCAAAACGCCTTGTCCAAGGAAGATGAGGAGATCAACGCCACTTTGGCTCGTTTGAATGAGGTTAGTAAAGAGTAAAAGCGGGGATTTAGGATGGCTGTGGTATACTCATGCCATTCAACTAGGAATACGAGAAGAAGTATGGCTTCAAGTTTGTTGTGTTTGTCGCTGGCCGACCTCGCAAGGAAATCATTCCTGTGATCCAGGAACGTCTTGCTTCCAACAACCGAGAAAAGGAGCTCATCACTGGCATGACTGATATGATGTTGATCGCCAAGGACCGCCTCAACAAGGCTAAAATTTAGATAGTCCCAAAAGGAAAGTAAATATACCTGCCTCATTTTCAGCCAATCACAAAGCATGCATTGCGACAGCTTGACGTCAAACATCTTTTGTGTGTGTGGGTGGGCACTTTTGAGCGTGTGTGTGAGTGAAACTGTGGATATAAAAACCCCATGCAATCGAACCATGGGATTTCTTCTTGTGTATATACAACATTACTTTCCCATCCTTTTCTTTTTCTTTCTAAACCATGTATCGATTGACTTTGGTTAAACGTAGTGCCATCACCAAAAGCAAACCTTTGATCCCATGCACACAACACGCTCGTTGGATGGCACAACGACCTGCTGATTTGGAACATGAAGAATACAAGCCTTGGGCTAACGAGAATTCTACCTGTGGCACCACTCGTGAGACGGTGGATCGTCGAGTTGCATCCGACAACTGCGTAGATGCAGAAAAGGAATTAAATGAAGATCGAGAAGAATCAGAGGTAAGGAAACAAACAAATGAAAGGATCATCTTAAATCTCATGCATGCAAACACACACACACACACACTCTCTCTTTTAATAGTCAAGAGGAGAGCCTGGTGTGCTCGAATACAGTGCTGCCAATTCACGTATGTCACAACAAACCAATGGTGAAGATGGTATGTGGAGACAATCGGACGTGGATCGCAACCCCTCTCGTTACGAACAACAGCCAAAACGACCACCTCCAAGGGAAGGTTTATTCAAGCCAGCCAAAAAAAATGTATACAGGAACTTGACATAGGGAATGCGTAAATTAATGCATATTGTTACATCCGCTTTTTCTTCTTTCTTTTCGTGCATGTGGATTATGGTGTATATGTTTAAATTGGTTGGGTGGTGGGCGTCACCTATCATCACAACAACAACGGGATCAATAATGGGTCTGCAGTGGGGGTGGTACCGTTGCTAGGCAACTTACATAATTGCTGGGTATCATGCCTACAGTGCCATCGGCTTGTCTTGCTTGCCACCAGTTTCCTTTACGCTCATGCACATGGAGCACCTCACCCTTTGTAAATGAGAGCTCATTGGGGTCATCAGGATTGGCCTCATCTACAACACCATTAGCATACCTACATTACCGTTTCCATGGGAGACCCGTAGTGGACTTACAAGAGTGCAAGGCAACGACAGGGATGTTGTATTCAGCATGCGGTGATACAAAGACGGTGTTATCTTGATTATAGATCATTGGGTAAGGTGAAGCAGCAGCAGCGGCAGCAGTCGATTTAGTAACATCCATGTCAGTTGTATAGGTCATTGTGGGTGTGGATGGATGTGTACGATAAGAATAGGCTGGTTGGTGATGATGATGTGGTTGGAAAGGTTCAAAGGATTCATTGTTTTGTACCCCCAAAAGAAAGAGCCATGAAAACTATAATACACAATGAACATTAATCCACCATCATTGCATACATGCATGCTATTTTTACACTTTTACCTGAGAAACAAGAATGACAATATATCCTGCCGATGCTACAGAAAGGGCAGGATGGGGTGTTGCAATGTATCGAGACACTTCGTCTGTTGCATAAGGAACACTGATAGCCACCAAAGCGATCACCTGATAAAGGGTAATCATGCATGAGTGAGTGAGTGAATGAATGAATGAACCCCCGGATTGTGCACGTTCACTTACCACCAGCCGATACGTAGTCATTTTACCTGTGCCTAGCACACTACATACAAAGATAACTAATGCAAGCTCATATACTACAATCCACCATGAAATGGGGTTTACTGACACGTTGGCAATACATAATCCAACAAATGCCACAATCCACCCAACCTGAAAAGAGTTCATGTGTGAATAAATGAAGCACATTTTTGCATGAATGACGTCGTTGACTTACAGCTGTGAGAATACAGGTTAATAAAAGAACATGATTTGCAGCAAGGCTATTCATTTGATGATCAATGATGATAATGATGATAGTAGTAGTAGTAGTAGTAGTAGTAGTAGTAGTAGTGTAGTAGTAGAAAGAGAAAAAGGAAAACAAAGTTGACGATGGATGAGGAATCCATGCTTCCCTTATAAACTAGACCGAGATGGCCACATGATACTTTGCGGAAAGAAAGGGGGTTGGTGGTGGTTGAATGGGTGGCCTGTTGGTGGGGCGATGACAACTTAAGGCCGATGGTATTGTAATATTACTGTGGCATATATGGGAAAAGGAGGAGCGGATTCTACTACCACTTGCATATCAAGTTCTTAACCATGGATCTACAACACTCTGTGTTTTTTATATATACGGTGATGAAAAAAAGTTATCTAATACTATTACAGGGATACAAAAATGGATGATGGTGTGGATGATGTTTAAAGCTGGTTGAGATCTGCGAGGAGTTTTTTGCCTACATCCATGCTCTTGAGCTTGGTAGCGCGCCTCACAAGTAATCGCTCAGTGCGATATTGCTCATAGTAACGTTCGATGGTTTCGGATTGTAGGATGCGGCGGTGCGATGAGAGGAGCATGGTCTTTAGTGCAGCAAAATCACTATACTTGTCTGAGAGACAATCGATCTGGACCCAGCCATAGTCGCGTCCGATTTTGATGCCATTCTTCATAGCCAATGGTTCACCCGTGTCAGGATCATCCTCATATGCAATCGTTGTAAAGGGTACCATCCGTAAATAATCAATGAATGTTTGGGTCTCCTCATCCTCCTTTTCATAATCAAATTGATCAAGAAATTCCTCCAACGAGCCTGTCGCTGCTGACGTTGTTGCATTGTTGTTGTTGTCATCCTCGTTCTTGTCCTTGGTATCATCACTGTTGTCACCCTCATCCTCATCCTCATCCTCATCTTCTGGCATGCCATACAAGGGTATCTTGTGCTTGGTGTAGATATCATGAATAATGCTTGGCTTCAGTCTACGACGCTGTGCAGCCGTAAGATTATCAGCTTTGCTGACAACGGGGATAACATTGACACGTTTTGACAATTGAGTGAGAATGCGGATGTCGTATTCACCAAGAGCTGGTTTACGAGGATCAAGCAAGTACAAACAAGCATGAACTTGGGTATCGGATGCCTTAGGATTACGCTTCACCTTGTTTTCCTACAACATTGATTCAACAAGCTTTTCGTGTCAGCGTGTGTGTGATCCTTCCTGTGCTACCAACATCTCGGGTTCCCGGATCATTGGGGTACTCGCTCTCGCTCACTCTTCAAATAGGTAACTCACCTCTGCCAATGTCAAATCAAACTGGTGTTCAATATAGCCGAGGATATCATGCAGCTGCTTGTCAACTCGAAAGTCGTCATAGAAACCAGGTGTGTCAATCACTGTCAACATGACCTTGTCGCCATCGACTTCAATGCTGGACGACACTGTATACGGTGCAAGTGTTTTGCTTAATGGGCCATGGGTCGGGTCTTTGCGAATGTCACTTTCTGATGGGCCAACAGCCGAGTCGCGCTTTTCCTTTGGCATCTCCGTCTTCAGGGCAGCTAAAAGCGTCTTGACAAAAGAGGTCTTGCCGACACCAGCCGAGCCGACCACCATGACATTAAAGTGGGATACTGCGTTTCGCCTTGATCGTGGCGCCATAGTAGTGTCAATAGAGATGTATGTATGAAATGTATCGTTGTTTTTGATAAAGAAGAAAAGAAAAAGAAAGAAGAAAGAAAGCGAGGCACACAAAAGAGAGAGAGAGAAAGATGGAATAAGTTGGTTATTGATTGCCCGATAATGAGTGATGCCATGTCGTCCGCGTGGTGGATATGGTTTTCATCCTTGTGTAGCACCAATGGCGGTTCTGGCGTGGTCCTCTCCTTGATCCCACCTACTTGCTTAGTGACAATGACTACTCGTATCTACTCATAATGCCCCGTTGCCATGGTAAATGATATGTAAATAGGCTATATATAAACATTCATAAGACATTGTTGAGTCTTTTTTATCCACAAAGAAAGTGGTAGCATTAGAGAGCATAAAATTGGGGAGTTATGGCACTCTTTGTTTTGTTACGTGTTACACGAAATTTACGGCCCATTATGGCTAAGGTCACGCCCGACCAACCCTTCATCACTTTTTAGTTGGCTTGATTAACGTTGGCTACAAACCGTGCAACACAAATGTGCTTCTCTCAATTACACACGCCTTGCTGATGATTTGTGCTACTCCATCTACCCACTTGCTTGTCGGTGTCGATCCCGAACCTCCTCATCCACCATCATCCCCTCCTCTTACTTGCCTGACAACCTTTTACCATGTGGGGAGCTAATAAGCTCTCATGTCGATCTCCTCATATACCCCACCACCAATCATTAAATGAAAGAAGAAGGGGTTGTATATATTTGGCATGCAATCCATGCAGCAGCTTGTATTTCCTTTATATCCAATTGTTCCGCGTAGCTGCATCAACTACATATACGATCATGACCCATGCATTGAACACTCTTTGGGTTCTCTACTACTTGCCGAACGATGGGCACACACATGTTGTAGCATAGCAAGAGAGTATTTTTATATGTGCGACAAGATGTATAGATGATGATGCGAGAAGGATGACCAGATTAATTGGATGTTTAAGGGTCGTAGTACGAGTTGCATGGGCCTAAGCGTACCTTTTTCGTTACCACAAAACGAGGACGACGTTTACCTTTCACACAATGATACCTAATCAAGGACACATCCATGCAATTGTTTACGTATAGTAGAGGTGTGTATTATCTAAATGCTTTCATTCCCCTTGTGAGAGGATAAGCGACATAGGAGGCGGAAGATGATAGGATGCCCGCCAAGCTTAAATCAACGTTAGAAGCTCCCAAGTATAGATACGTCCATAATACATGTGATAACAACAAGCTAGCTGTATCATCCTTACTACTCAAGAGCTCAAGATCTATCAATCACACAAGGTACTTTGTTATATCAAAGGAAGCAAGCTTTGAATGATGGAGATGGATCCAAACAGTCAACAGCAGCAGGATGTATCATCATAACCAAAGTCAGCATGTATAGTGCTGGAAATGAGATTGACGCATCAGCTTCCATCATGCTGCAGGCTTCAATTTTTGTTAGTGCAAGGATTTTTTTAAGACACTGGTCTCTTTTTTTTACTCTATCGCGATAGTCATCACATCCACTTGTAAAACCCAAACATCATATTGAATCACGGCTACAAGTATACATTTAATGATAAAATAGAAACAATAGAATGGATCGATCCGATGACATCAATTATGCAGTAGGGACATGATGCATTTCTTGCATCTTGGGGTTTGTGCTGCATGGTGACAGGTCGGCGGCGGCGTAAATGGGCACACATACTGAGTTGTTCCGACACGCACTTGTTTCGCCCTTGGCAGCATATAGAATCTCTTTCTTTTTCCACTTTTTCTTTGTTCACAGCATAAAATGGAAGACGACGGTGTGCCCGAAGTGCCATTGGCTCTTGTATCCAACCTTTATCTCGAAAAAAAGGCATTCCAAGTGAAGCAAAAGTCCATTTTGTGGGAGGTGAGGATGGGAAGGGGAAGAGGGAATGGGCAAGTGTTTCGGGTTACGTTGCTGACATGGTGCTCTTTTCTCTCTCATTGTGTTATCCATCCAGGGTTATGAACGCGCCAATCTGTTGACACACGCCCAAGTCGAGCTCATTAAAGCCATCGACAAGCAGTCTCCCGAGCAAGTGCAAGCCGCTGTCCAAGAAAAAGGCACCGCCTACGCCTCGCTTATCCTTCACTTACTCCAAAACCTATCTCGTCCCGACACGGTTCAATATGTATGCGTGCTTACAGATACCATTCTCTCTGGTAAAGATCCATGGTGGTGGTGGTGGTTTCATAAAAAGAAAACTCATATTGATCCATGTCCATCCATAGGCAGCGACGACAATGCCAAATACTTTCAACAAGTCGCATCCGAAGGTGAAGGATATCCCTACGGTCCATTCTTCAAGTAAGCATTTAACAACATGGGAAATGGTATGATTATTCACGCATGATACGATACATGTAGGGCTTTGGAGTTGAATGATGAATTTACTCAATTACAAGCTAGCAAAATCTTGACTATTCTCGCTTGGTATGTGTGCGCCACATCACAATAGAGATGCGTCGTATTAACATGATAATAGCTCTTCTCCCAACCCTGGAGCATTGGATTTGACGCAATTGTGGCAGTGGATCATCCAGCAACTTGGAAGTCAGCATCCCGAGGTGGTGGATCTTGTCACCCAAGAGATCGAATCACTTCTCCGTGTCCGCCAATATCGCATTCCATTTTGGAAAACGCCCCATGCCATGAAAGAGTAAGTAATGGAGAATCGCATGGATAAGGTGTGCCGGTGGGTTAACCATCCCATTTGACTGTAGACTTCTCAAGAATCTGGACAAGCCCTCTGTGACACCTCAAATGCAGTATCAAATCATCTTTTGCTTGTGGCTATTGACGTTTGAAGGAGAAATTGCTGCCAATATCAATAGGTAAGATGAGACAATAGAAGACTAGTGTTCATGTGATTGATCTTTTTGTCTTATAGACAATACGACATTGTGCCCAAGTTGACTGAAATTGCCAAGGCAGCTGTCAAGGAAAAGGTCATCCGTGTTGCTGTTGCTACTTTGAGAGTAAGATATCATCATTAGAGGGGGAAAGATATTGGGGAGATTACTGATGCTTCTGTTGATTGGATTAGAACCTTGTCGAGAAGGCTCCTGCTGAAAACCTTGCTGCAATGCTCGTCGTCAAGCTTTTGCCCTTTATGGAGAATCTTAGCAGTCGCAAATGGTCTGATTCAGATATTTTGGAGGATATTGACTATGTCAAGGAACGATTGCAAGAGAATTTCCAGAGTCTTACGTGAGTATGGATATTTGTTACATATATGTCTTATCTCGCTGACATCTTTTTTCTCAATAGTACCTTTGAACAATATGCATCCGAAATTGAAACAGGCAAGCTCGAATGGTCTCCCCCACATAAATCGGAAGCATTCTGGAAAGAGAATTACTCACGACTTGAGGAGCACAACTATCAGTTGCTGAGGTATGAAAAGACATCTATGGGTATACTCTTTTCGCTTACATTGTATCCTAGAGCACTCGCTCGTATATTGAGCACGTCCACCAGCCCAGTTGTTTTGGCGGTTGGTGCCAATGATGTGGGTCAATACTCCAAATACGCATCCAAGGCAGGAAAGAGGTAAGCATTGAATATGAGATAGGGGGGAGGAAGCAATATTCCAGAATGTATGTCTAATAGATCCCAATAGATTCCTCCAGGACATCGGTGCCAAGCAACGAGTGATGGAGCTTATGACTCATGAAGATTCTGATGTGCGATACCAGGCACTTGCTGCCGTCCAGAAATACATGCATCAGGCTTGGTAAGTATTATTATTATTATACATCTCATATGCGGTTCAATTGCTTATATCCAATCACGCACGTATAGGGACTTTTAAGGCTCTGGATCGAGAGAATCATGGGTGGATAGAATCACAACATGTTCATAACTTTTTGTATTTCATCTTCCAATAACAAGAATATCCCAAAAGAAAGTGTATTGCAATTGTGCTGGGTCTCTCGGGGTGGGTGTGTTTGGGAGAGTGGCAGAATCGAGATCTTTTTGCTCCGCTTGGGTATCCCCTCTTGTTTTTGTTTTCCACTCCATTACTACACTTGTATTCGACATGATCTCCCAGCAACGGTTATTTAGCAGCAGCAGCGCCGTCGCCTCAAAGTACTACAAAGTGACATTGACACGATCGACCATTGGTCTTTCAAAAGACTATCGTGCAGCAGCAAAGACGCTTGGTTTGCATCGATTGCATCAGACGAAATACCATACTGTCAACCCCAGCTCGGCCGGTCTCATTCTCAAGCTCAAGGAGATTGTCAAGGTTGAAAACGTCGATGCTATTCCAGAAAAGGTGTCCAGCAAGGCTGAACGAGGATACAAGGTCGTTGGCAGCATGTTGTAAAAAACACTCATTCTCTTTTTGCTTGTTTATTGTTGATCATCCCACCATTATTACTACTGTACAGTCCTGAAAACAGAATAAACCTCACACTCTACGCATTTTACATCAACAACACGAGCTATCTTAAATGAATTGGGGAAGATGGGGATAGGGTATTAGGGAGTATAGCGATAAACATTGGTGTCTCTAAGCTGAAATCCAAGCCGTTGATACAGTCGATTGGCACTTGTTCTTTCAGGTCGACTCGTAAGATCAATGGTCCTCGCATGAAACTCATCCTTGGCACGTCTTATAGCATCTTCCAAAAGTTGTGTACCCACTCCTTTGCCGCGACAAGCTGAATCGACCACCACATCCTCGATATGCACACGTGTACCTGATGCACAAGGTGTCATGGCAATGATAAGCACGCCTACAATGTCCCTCGTCGTCGTATCCTCAGCTGCAATAACTTGGTTTTGTATCGACGCTAAAGCCGCTTGCACCAACGACTCATTAGCCGTACTCGAAAGTTGCTGGAAGAGCTTCACCAATTGGTCAAATTGGTCACGAGCAATGTCGGCCGTCAATCGTACAATCTTGATGGTCATCGGAGGAAGGAAAGTGAGAGTGTGTTACTTGTGTAATAGAGCCGGCGGGGAAATCCATTGTAGCGTCGTCATTGACAACCGTATCCAGGCTACATAATCAAAGATAGAGAACTCGCACTGTAGATGTATCATATCAATAAAGGAATAAGGTAAACATCTTTTCATTGAAAGAAACAATGACCACATTGATTATTTATGTTGAATCATTGATGCTGTGCCGTCACGTGATGATGTTGTTTGGGTCATTGTCTTCATCTGTTTACTGTTGACATAATAAGGAGTCTTCATCACCATCATCTTGATCTTATATAAACCATTTCATGTTCTTGAAAATTGAAACACTCTGCTTACAAGGTACCCAAAAAGAGCAATGGATAACGACATAGATATGAAAATGGGTGATTTGGCAGCCATCCAGAAGATCCTTCACACTTCACCAGAACCATCATTATTTAATATGCACATACCCAACATTTACGAATTCGGCGGCACTGACAAGGAAGACTTTACCATCTTCATTTTGGAAATCGAGCTCTTTTTCATTGGGTTGGCGGTTCCTGATGCTACGAGATATACCATTTTGAGGATGATGCTAAAAGGTGACGCCAAGGATTTCCTGGAACGATGGGAGGAAGGACAGCAGCAAAACACTGTTATAAAAAGAAGCGACCATCATCATTTATCATCAACTCGCAACGCATCCCCTGAACGCCACCATTATCAGGCTGCTATTAGTGCACTGGAAGAGAAGTATGTCAAACCATCTGCACTCGAGTATTATGAATGGCTGAAGGAACAACTACATCAGCATTCTATTTGCATGAATTGGGAGAAGAATGGATACAATACTCAAAGTATTACTACCATCAAGCAACCAGTGACATTATGATTGGTGATCATGTTGTTGAATGTGTCATCAAGCACCACCAGCTACAGCTCTTTATAACCCATATAGTGTACATGAGCTTTTCCTCGTTAAATTTTTCAATTTAGTCCTCTCCGTCTATATGTACTGTTGCTCTACCACTTATCATAAAGAGAAAAGTTTTACCTAGACTAGCTTCCTCTCGTGTTCTTTCTAAGATGAAGAAGTATGTTGTTCATGTTGATGTTCATGTTTAAAGGATGAAAAGGATGAAAGGATCTACATTTATAGAGCACAGCAGCAAGGGGATTTCTGCTTTAAGTAACGTGAACATACCTATGTCACCTACAAAAAGATCACCTCTCAAATGGCAGATGGATTTATCAGCTGTGCTTTTCCATCACTTCGATTCGGTCCTCCAAGATGCTTGACCATTTTATCAGTTCAATCAATCATGACAACAACTCCCACGCCCATTCACTTATAAACGAAGCTGTTGTCACCAACACTATCATACGCCCTTTCTTCCTACTTGTATTCATATCATCATCAGTGATCTTTGGTAAGTCTCAAGGAGAGTCTTTATTATGTGATCCCCAAAATGATGGTACTCATGCAAACGTCTTTTATGTTTTCATTTATGTAGCTCGCTTCATTGCTTACCACTTGCACTGCTCATTGATGCGTAATTGGATTTGGCTGTGTTCCTTGATGGACCCTTTGTGGTAGGTATAACTATCATTTAATTATAAGGATGCCTAGTCTGATAAAAACTGGGACACCTTTGTAGGTGACAAAAGTACATGCCAAAATGAGCGTCATTACAATGACATCGTCTTTGATTCAACATCAAATGATCGTGTGTTCTTTGGAAGAAAGATCGATCTGCTGATCCGTTTCGGCAAAGGTGCTAAGTCCCTAGAACTTTCGAGCAATGAGTTCAAGAAGCCCACAGCAACGACATCGCAAGTAATGGCACAACAGAATAAGAACTTGCGCGTCAATGGCTCTCTCCTCAATCACCTCCGTGCCCTGAACAACAAATTCTTGGTGTGCTAGCCATGGATTGGATTGGTAGATGCATTGATCACTAAACCCATTAATTAGCCTTTATTTTTCTCATTCGTAATGTAGGCAACATTGGATATTTGTACTGCTTGGTGGATCAGCATGGTCTATATGTTGCAAAGATCATCGACGTGCTGAACATCCCTATCTCTGTCAGCGGCATGAAACGGTTCAAGAATACATCGACTTCTCTTTGCCTACAAAGTAACCATAAAGGAAAAGGGAGAGGAGACACCTGGTAGAGAAATCATTACATAAGAATTGTATATGTAAACCCACCAGTAATCAATTCAAGTAGGGTACGTATACATATTGATGGGTCGCTCGTCCTGAAACTCGATTGAGGGATCACTTCATTTTTTCTCTTCTCAAGGTCATCCCACTCCTCCGTATTGTATCACAAAAGCCATATACCTCTTGCATGACAGATAACCGGACCACCTTTATTATTCCATCTTCGAAGCTATAGTAATGCAATCCACAAGCTAGCAGAGTCAAAGCGTGTAATAAATGAACAGTGGTTTATTTCATCTAGCTATCTTGCTATATTGCCTCCAGCATCCTCTGTCATCATTCGTACTCGTGCTCGTACTCACCAACACTCGTCAATCTCCTCGTCACCAATATCCAAAACACGTAAGTATAAAAGAATAAGATCTTGCAGGTTTCCTTTTGGATATCGCTGTCGTGGATGGGGTGATCATCGTAATCGTCATTGTTGTGAATGTGGTAATCATCGTAATCGTCGTCTCTATAAATAAGAAAGCAAGCAAGTTAGACCATATGATGCCAGGAATGATGGCGATTTGGTATACCGTTAGGCGATCCTCTCCAAGGAAGAAAGCAAATCAGAAGGAATTCACAAACCAAATCACCACCATACGAGCAACGTCGGGCGATCCCTTGTTCTTGAGAAAGCACTGCACGAATCACGCAAGGCCAGTTCGATCCATGGCAAGGAAGGACGTCACTTACGTAGAGTCCAGGCTCATTGTTGTCATCATTCATCCTCTCCAAAGAAAGAATGATCCCCAATCCTTCCAATCATTTCCCACCTCATGAAAAGAAATCTTCAAGGGAAAGAACGAGCCTATCACGAGAAGAGCGTGTTGGTTCAACACATTCACGGCCGAGCCATTGCAAATCCCCTTTTACCTCAACACGGTGACCATGCTCTTCCAAAAATCCATCGTCATCGACCCATCAACTCAAACGCAGGCCTATAGAGCCCTGGACGCGTTTCAAGAAGCTTTTGCAGCACATTTGGCTAGCGCAGAGCGACGCAGCGGCCACTTGATACAGGCTGGGACTTGAACCCAAAGAGATGATGATGATGCCCCAAGTTGCATTGCCTGACCAAAGAAACTTATTCAATGCATTATTAGCACACACATACTAAACACCCTTTTCATTGTTTGTTTCATTGTACTTGCCTTTTCCATATACACAAAGACCCGTTGTTGTCGGTTACTGGAAACCGAAAACCATGGTGTAGTATAGTTGAGCCGAAACAAAACGCCAAACCAGCCAACGTCTTGAAACCAAACTTGCCCTCTATACAAGCTGACGCGTCAATGGAACCAAGTCGGCTGCAACATTGGACTCTGGATGTACCTGTTGACACCAAGCGTAGAGCGGCAATACCAATGAGCAAAAGGAAGCAACGATATCGCCATGGCTACCACGCTCATTCCTCAGCACTTGGACACACTCACTTCCCTGACAATGCATGTTCAGAACTACATTAACACCTCACAGCCAACAAGAGCACTCTTTGATAATACATTACCTTGATCGAGATGTCGTGAATGGAATAAGGAAAGGTGGGAGAAAAAGAAGAGAAGCGTTGTCTCAAGTCGTGGAGCTGCTGTCCCCCAAGTTTAAATCCCCTACTGCTATTAACTGAGGCCACTCAATGACCCCCACATACACCATCCACCCATCATGATCATCACCCTCACGATAGACAACAGGTACACGTAAAAAAAAGAAATGATCCTCACGTATAGCAAAAGGGTGTGTGCCATTTTACACTTTACATGATAATGATGATCCAACAACAGCCATTGCCTTTACTACCAGGTTACCTCGAATCAAGAAAGTTAAATGATGGGAATGATGGGCTGGAGCAAGACAATCGTTCGTATGCATTGGATTGCACAACAAAGGTGAATGGAAGGAATGGGCTATTAGCCGGCATTTTACAAATAACTTACCAATTTGATTCTTCTGATATTGGATGATGTTTCTGTGTTTGAGCATTTTTCAGTCAAATCTCATCGAAACAAGAAAGTTGAGTGATGGGCATGCTGGGCTGGAGCAGAACAATCGTTCGTATGCATTGGATTGGGCAACAATGGAGAATGGGAGGACTAGGTATATTAGCTGGCATTTTGAACTATTCCTAAATAGTGTACAAGAATCATGCATCGCCTGTGCTGAATGACTCAAGTTACACAAACACGTCTTCTGCATCTTTTGCTCTACTATAGTCATACTACTTTACATTGAACAACGACCACTTCTCATATAGCATCACGCTTATAACGAACATAGTAAAAACATAAAGACGCCTGTATCTCTAAACTTTATAATCAAACGTGGGGTTTTTATTAGAGCAATAGACTCGG